GTATAAGAATATAATATATATATATATATATATAAAAACTTAATACATTTTAAAAAACATAAACTATAATTTTACAAAAAAAAAATTCCCTTGACTTTGTTGTAGCCTGTTACGGTTTAAAATAAAATTCACTGTTTAAACCATAAATAAAAACATACAGATTTGGTTACAATAATAATTATATATAATAAAATGTAAACAGAAATTTAAAAGAAGAAATTTAAAAACACTTTGTTATAAAAAAGATTTTTTATTAAGAGACTTGCATTTTGAATTATTTTCCATCAAAAATTATCTTCTAGTGTTCAGTACAGTTCAGCATCAGTGTTATAAATTAAAGAAGTAAATTTTCATTCTTTCTATAGAAATAATTATTGCCGTATACTTTTTAGATTTTATAAGTGTATTAACTACAAATTAATAAAAATAATTACAGAAGAATAGCAAAAAGATAGAGTATTCATAAATTTTTTAAATAATGCTATTTTCACTCTAAATTCTATAATAACAAATGTTTGAAATTATTTAGAAAAAAACTGATAAAAAAGTGATTATTTCAAAAAATGTAAATTCTTAGAAATTCATGTTCTAAAGATCTATCTTACTATTTTTTTTAATTTAAAGTATCTTTTAACACTTTTCTCATTTTTAAAATGTGAAGATAGATTCTCTTCCCTTTGTTTTAATTGAATTTTGTAAATAAAATCTTCACTATATTACAAAATATTGATTTATTTCAATTTATGGGTAAATTATAAACATGAACATGAAATAAATTTATTTGAAAGTTATTATATTAATATTTGATTATTGTTTTAATATAATTAAAAAAAACTCGCAGTTTACGAATCCTACAAATAAAGGTAGCTAAAATTTATTATAAAATATTGAGAGAAAACAGAACTTACTATGTGTATCATGTGATATCCATCCACATCTGTCTTATTGTGATGTACAGCATGCCAAATAGTTTTGAAAACAAGCTATCTGACATACTTTAATATCACTTAACGTACAAAAAACGTGGAATAGCATGAGTTACATCGTTATTCCATATAGTGTAACAAGCATTTATTTATTTTTAGAAATATACAAAGAATTTTAAGAATTTTTTTTATTCAATGCTTTAATGAATCGTTATATACTTCGTATAATTGAACTCTTATAAAAAACTACAATTATTTCTTATTTTTTTAATTTTTCGAATTAGTAGCTGCTTTTTATGAATTAATTTTATTGAAATAGTTATTAATCATTAACATTGTCATACAATTGGCACAACATTTTAATATGTTTTTAACATTTACGTAATTAACTGTAATTGCTTTATGTTATTTATATATTTCCGAATTACTTTTGTGTTTCTTTTTCTTGTTTCTTATTTATCTTTTTAATTCTTTCTTTGACCTTCTAGATCCTCTGAAAAATTGTTTCCATATTTTTTTTGACATTTTCATTTTATCTCAATCTCCTATTTTAGAACTTCATTAAATTTCTTGCCTTGCGCAATGCCTAAAGTTTAAATCTATATCTAAATTGTTATTTGTGAGACTTGAGATAAGTATAATTATATTTTTCTCAAATGGTTTTTTAATCTTTCAGAATTTCAAATGTTTATTTTCTCTGCATTTTCATATTTATGCTGTTTTAATTGTGATTACAATTCTGCTCCTCATAAAAGATATACAAATAACTATAGTAATGTTTGAAAAAGATTATGACGGTTTTTTCGTATATTTTTATTAAATTGTTTTTATATTACGAAAGCTAATTTTCTGTTCATTTAATTATTATAAAACTTTTTTTTACCTGAATCAAAACTATTGAAATACTTGTACTTTAATATAGTAATAACAACTTCCAAACCTTGAAGAAGGTTTGGAAGTTGTTATTTTAAAATATGAAGTCGTTTCCTTCTTTAGGAAAAGACATTTAATTTTAAATATTTCTTAATTTCTTCTCTATTAAATTTAATAACTATTCTTCAAATTTATATAAATGAATATAAGAAATAAAAGCATAGAATGTCATTGAGATGTTTACTTGTAAAATATATTTAAACGTTCTTAATTGAATATAGCAACTGAACATTTTAAGAAAAGGGTTAGTGCCTTGAGGGCTATATACCTGCCGTCCATTGCCTATAGTCTTGATGTACAATGTGATCAGCTAGCTTGAATGAGAAGTAGAGAACTAATCACTTACCTGAAGTGCCAATAAAAAATCATGAAAGTCTGAACCAGATTCGAATCTAAGAACTTTTCGAAGTCCTTACCACAAGCCACTGAACCGAATAATTAAAGGTTTAACTTTCTTGTAAAATCTCTATGCATAAAGATTCAACTATACAATTATTTTAGCTTGATGCTCTTTGATAAAAAGTAACCTATATGAAACATTCTCCTGTAATCAATAAAAGGTGCGTATAGAATATTTTCATATCTAGTGTATTTTTAATTAGTAAAAATACTATTAAATCAATATATTAATTAACTTTACAAAATAAATTATATAGTTAAATTATACATTTACATCTACTTTAAAAATCAGTTGTTTAAGAAGTAGCATGTAAAATTTTTATTCTATACCTCAAATTAAAAACGCAGAGTTTAATTACATTATTTTTATTTTAAATTTACATTATTTATACAGTAGTTTTATTTTTTAATCAATTTTATACATTTAAATTATTTTTTAAAAATTACAAAATAATTGATTAGTTAGACATCTACATATTCATTTGATGGTCTTTAAAATGATAAGCGTCTTTAATGGGAATTAAGATAGGATTTGATAGGAATTTTATTTATCGAATATAAGTTATATTCAAATGTATTTTTTATTGAATAATCTTTTAATAAATAAATTAATGTAAGTAAACTTTGGCATTTGAATAGTCAAAAAACTTTTTGTATAAACAAATATACCTTTAGTGTCATTAATTTATTCAATCATTCAAAAAACGCAAAATGTAAAACATAAATATAAAAAAATGGTAGAATAAGATTAAATTCGGTTAATTTAACAAATAATTAAATAAAAAAATTTTATGCTAATCGAGAGGAATTTTGTACTTTTAAGTAATGTAATATGTGGTCCAAGTAACTTTCTCCTAGATGATATCACGACAACTAGTTAGAGCTTAACTTCTCTTTGTATTTCTCTAATCCAAAGTCTACAAAAGAGACTTTTATCTCTCTTTCTTATAAGGAATGCAATTTTTATCGAATTTAAGAAAAATCGACTAACTTGTAAGAGATAGATAAGACTAGAATTTCTTGACTATTGACTGATAAATCTAGAAACTAAGAAATATTAAGAATTATTAGCTTTATAATAAGAATATTTGGAAAAATTAAAAACTGTTATTAATAAAGAATAGTTTAATATATCGTTCAATTCTCAACTGAATTAACTTATTTATAAGCACATTAAATATAATTTATTTAATCTAATGATATTTGATTATGTAAAACATAAGAAAAATGTTGTTATTAAAAATGCATAAAATATTCAGTTATTGATCTCTCTACATTAATAAAAATCTAGCAGTCATTACTATTAAATCTTCATAAATAAGACATTAGCATATAGTAGAAACTTCGATTTTGAATTCATTATTATTATTACTTAAAAAATTTTAATTTAAAAATTTAATCTGATTTTTAATTTTATTAACTGAAGTCAATTAAGTTTAAATGTAAATATTTATCATAAAGAAAAAAGAAGGAATAAAATTTGTTTAAGCATAAAAATAATGTTAAAAATATAGAAAAGTAAAGAAAAAGCAGAAAGTCAAAATTACGAAATGTAAATAAAAAATAAATGAGAAAGAATCTAATTAATCGTTTGTATAAATTTTAATTATTATTCAATATTTTTAATATCTTATTTTTATGCTGATGTATTCATCATTATGTAAGATTTATCTGAAATCAGAAAATATCTGAATCAATCTGGACATCAATAACATCTAATTAGTTTTTAAATAGCTATAAGTATGCAGTAATGCAAAAAATATATATATAAATTTTCAATAAATAATAACTATCACAATTTGATTGTAATGTTAACATCAAATTATATACGATTCACTTGGACGAAAGAGATGATGAGGCCTATTCTTTTTCGATAGCTATAAAAAAATATAGAAATAAAATCAATGAAGAAATAGAAACGGACTTTTCATTACTTATCAAAAGTAACATTAATTTTCTTTTTATATAAACGAAGTCACTCTGTGGGATTTTCTATGTTAGTGTTCTGTCGAAACTCTCTAGTTATACAATTCTAAACGACTGTAAATAACATTTTCAATGGTTCTAATAAGGAAAATCATCTTAAAGTTTATATTCTGCCTAAAATTTGAAAAACTCGAAAATAATTTTTAATTTAGACGTTATATATATATATATGTGACGTCTAAATTAAAAATTATTTTCGAGTTATATATATATATATATGTACAGTATTTACGAACAGTTTTTATTAGATAAACCATTGTTAGTTTGCTTGCTCTAAATTGTTTCTTTGAAAATAAAAAACAAATGTTTACGTAACATAGATAAATATA